TGAGTGAGTGAGTGAGTGAGTGAGTGAGTGAGTGAGTGAGTGAGTGAGTGAGTGAGTGAGTGAGTGAGTGAGTGAGTGAGTGAGTGAGTGAGTGAGTGGGTCAATCAACAAACCAATCAGTCATCCATTCTTTAAGTGTGAAGTCTGACAAACGCAGAGCTCATTTATATTTATTTAATTGAACTCCAGCGTGCTAGAAAGTACTCTAACATCCAGGCCACACAAATACACTCTCAGTTTTGTTCGTAAGTCGTATGCACATAATGTTTCCGAATTCCGGACATACATTATTCGAACCTGGTCAGCATGCAGTAAAGTGACCGTGGCTTTAAGACATGCGCTTCTACCGTCTGAACTAACCTCACCCACCGCTCTGAAATGTAAACCGCAAATGATGAACATGTTGACCTTTACGTGAGACCGACCAACCAACCGACTGACCAACCGACTTACTAACCAACCAGCCAGCTAACCAAACAACAAACTAACTAATTAACCAAACAACAAAACGACAACAAAATTAACCAACCGATTAAAAAAACAAACAACCACCAACCAATCAATCAACCAACAGCTGGTCACCTACTACCACAGCGATTGTTCACCGGGACTTGATTGCCCACTTCATCTGACGTACGAGGATTCTTATCAGCCATGTTAGTACATACTGACCACATTTTCGCATTTTCGTTCAGCGGGGAGGCATAAATTTTATGTAAGAGAGAAAGAGGAAATTATTTGAAAAATTTACTTTAAAATTGGTGATAAAGAGTTTTCCAGAATTTATCAATCCATAAGCAAGAAATTTATTTTTGTCATTTCTTATAAATTATTTGAAGGCTGTTTAATCGATAACATATTTTTGTGCAATTTCAAACCGCTGGGAGGAAGGCTTTCAGGCATATGTCACTTGGGTTACAAAAAATTCGCGAATACGAATATTCACAAATAATTACAAACAAATTTTGTGGCATAATTCAAGTTCAAATTGGCTTTTGAACATTTCGATCAATTTATTCATACTACATTAACTTAATCACCATCATCATTATTATAAACATCATCATCATCATCATCATTGCCATTATCATCTTTATCATCATCATCATCACCACCATTGTCATCCCCACTATCGTCACCACTATCTTCATCATTACCACCACCATCATCATCCTCATCATCATCACCATTATCACAGACGCCATCATCACTACCATCTTCTAAATCATCATCACCATCATCACCACCACTACCATCATCTGCATCCTCCTCATCACCATTATTATCTGCATCACCATCGTCACCATCATTACCTGCATCATCTCCTACATCATCATCACCACCATCATCATCACTACTATTATCTGCATCATCATCATCACCATCATCATCACCACCACCATCATCTGCCTCATCCCCATCAGCATCGTCATCACCAGATAGCACCACACATTGGGAGGACGTACAGATCCGCTTGGTCAGTAACTCAGTTGATGCAAATTTTTGTCAGGAGTGTTAATATTTGTAAAATCATAAACACAAATTGTATCATTATGATCATCATCATTATCATCATCATCATTGTTATTATTATTATTACTATTATAATTATTACAGTTATTATTATTATTATTAATGTTGTTGTTGTTAATTTTGCTACAATTATGTTTTATGATTAATGCGTTGGTAATGTTCTTTCACTGAAACGAAATCATTCGTATAAAATAATTAATCAATTAATTAATTAATTAATATATATAAAATTTATGACAACTCCAATAAAAAATATTTAATAACTTCTTCAGGTTAATGTTACTAACACTTCGTAATAATTCATTTAATATTTTTTTTAATTAGGAGTGTACAAATTTTTAAACAAATTTAAATCCACACTCAAGTGCGGCAAAACAGTGAGATCTGGCTCGCAGGCACCAGCCGACAATCCTCAAACAACTCCAAAATCCTCACTAGCAAGAACGAAATCCAAATCCCTCGACAGCCTCTTCATCCCAGAACCTTCCACGAATGCCAACTTTTTTGAGTACGAACTCGTTGAAGCCAGCGACATGTTCAGCCACTTCTACATGAATAACAAAGGCCCGAGGGACGATTGCGCCATCGTAAGAAGCAGGAGGAGGAACGTAGACGCGCTTGCCACCAACATCCAGAGAGCCAGCGACAGTGTGGAGAAGTGGTTGACGGTCGGCGGCATGGAGGAGTATGTCAACTGCAATCCCGTCGCGCTACGACAACCTCTGCCGACACCGGAGGAAAAAAATAAACAGAATCCACCTCTGTTAGGTCAGAACACTAAGTGCGAGCCACAGCAGTGCTCACAACGACACGAACCACAACAACCACACCAACCACAGCAGCAACGACTGCGAAACAAACAGCCACAACACTTGGCGACTGCATTGAATCTAGAACGGCGAAAACACTTCGACAATTTAATTCAACAGGAATTGAACTTCTTCAAAAAAAGTTCTGACAATACAATGGGACATAATAATGACATCAAGAAGGTGAATAGAAAAAACAACTCAGACAACAACAACAACAACAACACTTGTAACAATAACATCAACATCTTCAAAAATCAACACGACAACAACAGCAACGACTGTCCTAAACTAGCTCATAGACAAACTCACAAACGAAATCCAAATTACCAGAACAACAACTACAACAAAAACATCAGCAGCTGTTACAAAAACAACAACAATATAAACAACAACACCTGTGATAATAACAACAACATCTTCAAAACTCAACACGACAACAACAACGACTCTTCTAAACCAGCTCATAAACAAACTCACAAACGAAATCCAAATTCCCAGAACAACAACAACAACAACAACAACGAAGACGAGAAAATTAACAAAATAAAAAACGTATTGAATAAATTAAACGGTTGGGATTATGGCGACAACGATGATGATGATAAAGATGATGATGAAGGAGATGACGATGATGAGGATGATGAAGATGACGACGACGATTTTGAAAAAGACGATAATGACTATATTAATGACTCAAATAATGATGATATAAGTGATGACGACGACGACGATGAAGATAGTAGCGATAACTCAGGTGAAGACAACTCTTTGAGCTATAACGTTAATGAACATCGAGCAGATGATAACAATGTGAATGATGATGATGATGATGACGACGATGATGATGATCATGATTATGAGAATGATGACAAACAAGATGATGATGACGGCTATGTTAATAAGGATGAACTTATTCGTGTAAGCAATTACAATAGTGATAAGTATGAAAACATTGGCTGTGACGATGATAGGAGAGTAGATAGGCCCAACGCTAAACCCATGAAGAACATGGATCGTGGAGAAAACATTAACGTGAACAAACACTACAGTGATGAAGAAGAGCAGCAAGAAGATGACTACTTGAATTTGGGTGATAGAAATAAACAGGAGAAAACCCAGTATGATTTGTTCTTAGTTCCTCAATGAATCACCTTAGTTTTAATTAGCCGTTTTAAATCCCTTTCATTCACCGACTAATTCAACCGTATTGGACTGTTTTGCTTGTTTGGTTTTTGTGAACTTTATTATTTTTGATTCATTCATGCATTCGTGTGTTATATTAATTAAATATTAATTCAATTATTTCTTATGATGAATTATCTATCCAATTCATTTGTTCTTCTTTTGATCATTTCGTCATCTACTTCAACTGGTTCACTGGAATAATTACTATTGACTAATCTGCTCACCGGTTTTGACAATTTCAATTTAATTGAAAGTTAATTTTAAAATTTGATATTAACGTATTCTGCAGCCCTTCAAGACAAAATTGCAACAGCACCAACCCTCCCAACCACCACCACCTGCTTCCCTGCATGAACATCCAGCTCCACCAACTTCATTTCAGCACCATATTGACTGCCGGGAAGTTTGAACTGGTTAAGAAGGCGAGGTTGAAAGAGAGCGATGATGTGGAAAGAGATGTGGCCGCTAAAATGGCAAAAGTTTGTCCCAAACAAAATAAAGTCGAGGTGATGACTATTGCTCTACAAATTTTAATCTACAAAAATTTGTTTTCTCAATTTTCATTGATAATTTGATACAAATAAAATTGAGAGAATATCAAAATGCATGCTGCCAACAATCCAACCAGAAGATGAACTGTTGATAATAATGATATAGATGATGATGATGACGATGATGATGATGATGATGACGATGATATAGATGATGATGACGATGATATAGATGATGATGATGATGATGAGGGTGATGATGGCGATGGTTACCTGTACCAACTCCCAACGCTGGCAGATGAAACTGAGAAGAGAAGCTGAACTGATGGCGAAGCTAAAGCATGAGAACATCATCGAGTTGATCGGTGCTTGCGTCAACTGCAATAAAATTGCGAGGTGTAACGTCACCAACCACAGCATCAAAAACTCCAAAAACCTCAATGCAAACAGAGCCGACAGCCACAACAGATTTGCTGACAGCAAAACCAAATCTAATAACAATAACAGAGACTACAACAACAATGATGACAGCAACGACAACAACAACAGAAATTTAGCCAATTTCGTGTATGTGGTTGTCTACGAATACACTCCGTTAGGAAATTTAAAGGACAATTTGGCAGGCGATCAAGGGTAGGTCGTGTCAAATCACCATCACCACCACCATCATCATCACCACCACCATCATCATCACCACCACCATCATCACCATCATCATCACCACCATCATCATCATCATCATCATCGTTGCCATCATCGTCATCATTTTTGTTATCATCACTAACATTAACATTACTGTTTTCATAAGGCTCTTGTTGCTATAAACAACTTACACGTCTCAACTAGCAGTCCCATTTTTATTAACATCATTTATTTTTTAAAAATATTCATCGCTAGGTGAGGTAGTTTAAGAAAGATATCAGTTGTTTGTTGAATGTTATCATGAAAATCAACTTCGCCATCGCCATCGTCGTCACCCAGGAAGTTCTTCAGCATCCGGCACCTGGTTGACATGATGTTGCAGATATGTCGCGGTATGAAGTATTTGGAAAGCATGTCCATTGTACACAGGGATCTTGCGGCCAGGAACATGCTACTCTTCTCCAAAGGAATGGTCAAAATCGGAAATTTTGGGCAGAGTCGAATTGTAGGAGGAAAAAGAAGCTGTCATGTTGGTTTCTAGCAATTATTGGACATTTATTTATGTTTTTTATGTTTGATATTTATTTTGAAAAAATTAAATTTAAAGTTGAACAATATTTTTGTTTTTTCACAACGCAACAATTGTTTTGCCCAAAAAAAATTATTTTTAATCAATAAAATTCAAAGTTGAATATGTGTGTGCATCTTTGTCACAATGTATTCCTTTAATACCAGCGGTACCAGTCCTCCAGACCAATCCTGGTCAAGTGGCACCCCCCTGAAGTTTTTGACGGCCTGAGGTTCAGCGCGAAGTCCGATGTTTGGACGTTTGGTGTGGTGCTGTGGGAGGTCTTGTCGTATGGAAGTGAGCCATACCAGGTGGCTGTCATGTGGATGACGATGACGATGATGATGATGATGAGAAAATGATGGCAAGAATGGTGAATCATATTATAACAGTGGGGATCAAAAAATATTAATTCTTTTATGCTATGGCATAATTGGCACTAATTATAATGCTATACAAAGTTTACGTTATTGATTCAGTTAGGTTCAAACAAATTGGTTAACTCAGCGTACGATGTTTTAACGTTTCCAACAGCTACATCGTTGTTGTTTTTATCATCCATCTAATCATGAAGACTTCTCAATTTCTGCAGGACATGAACAACAAAGAGTACATGAAGAGTGTGAGGCAAGGTGGCAGACTACCCAAGCCCGAAGTGTGTCCAGCATCGGTTCAACGAGTTATGGAGAGGTGCTGGATGCTGGAGTAAGTTCTGATGGGGTGGCTGTGGAGTTGTTGGCTGTAAGGAAGAAATTAAAAATTAGAAGCCTTGGAAAAACGGGGCTTTAGGGTTGAAACTTTCCACAATGGAAACTTTTGGTGTGGTTAAAGCCAAAGTTAAAAAAATCTCTTTTTGAATATGTAGAAAGTTGAACTGAAAATTGTTTCAATCCCAAAAAACAATAAAGGTAAGTAAAGTTTTGTACAAAACTTCTGTTTTCAATGGAATAATTAATTTAAAAATTACTAATTAGCAAAGAAAGGTTGGAAACTTTTTTTTTAATCTTAGATCCCCATCAGCAAATTTCTGTCGGCTCCGTGGAAATAGTTTTGTGCTAACTTTCTGAAGACATAACATAAAATCGATTTCAAAAATTAAAAAAAAAGGTTTTTGTTTACTATTCTTACCCCAGCATCAGCCAAAAGTATGAACAACCAACACACCTTTGCATGGCTGTCCAATAGAAGCGAAACAAATTATTTCATCTGTAATGATGTTTATTGATGAGATGATTGTAGCATTTAACATCAGCCAGGCTTAGCGGCACGCCCAGTCTAAAAATGAATGAGTGCAATTCTAAGGACTCTGTACAAGTTAATTAGCTCGAGTGAGATTTTTAAATAGCTAAATAATCATGAAATAATCGGACTGAGAGATAACAATGTTGCAATTAAATATAGTCTGGAGTTTTATGATAAATAGGAGTAATGATTTATTATCGAGTTTTTAAGTCATATGAAAAATAATTTCGTATTAATTAATTAACGTGAGGCTTTCAAACATAACTGAACCAGACAAAAGTTGTTTACAAAAATGGTTTAACACCTAATTATTCAAAACCAAACTTCTCCTGTCATGGCCTCAATAGAATAGGAGCAGGCAATCATATGTCGAAGTCAGCGTTGTTAAGTCTTCAGAGTTTTTACATACTTTCGTAGTATTTAAGTAGTTACCCCAGTATTTAGGAGGTATTTAAAATGCTTAATATTTAAGCGGTATTTAAACGGTATTTAGTATTTTAAAAATTTAATTACTTTGACATAAAAGTTGATTTATCAATCATCTATTCCACTTTGCATATTTTTTGTTCATTCTCTCTCTCTCTATATATATATATATATATATACATAAATATATATATATATATATATTGAGAGAGAATTAATTTTTATTAGTTTTTCGGTCTAACTGCAATTTAATGTAAGTGAAACCAACAAAAATAAAAAAATGGTAATTTTTAATCCTTTTTTATTAACGTGTAATTTGTATTTTCAAATGAAAACTGCCCGGTATTCAAAATATTTTTAAATACTCGTTGTCAGAATTTAATTACTTCTTGCAGCATTTTGTATTTAACAGACACGTTTGTGTTTGTATGTGTGCACGTATGTGTGCATGTAAGTGTGTATATGTGTTTGTGTGTATTTGGACTAAATCACGCTCAACTGTTCAATTTTGAAATCATAAAAGTTTGAGTTATGAAAGTCGTCTACGCAGCAGTTATAACTAATATTGAAATTTTACTCACCAGACCTGAGAACCGTCCCTCATTTGCTGACTTGCTGGAACTTCTAAAACTTTCATACTGGAAGATAATTGAAGAGAATTACACTTAGTCAACAATGGACTGCAACGATGAAGAGAAGAGCTTACTCGATGAGGTAGAGAGCATCTGATGCCAGCATTATAGCTGGGAATATTGAACAAGTTGTATGCCAAGGCAGCATTTATTTTTTTTTAGAAAGATGTAAAACTTTTCTAAATTGGATAATTTTTACTAATTTAATCTATTTTTGATGATACTGGAAAACGCCATGAAATCGTTCAATCAAAAAACTTACTTAGAGTATAGAATTGATTAGATCAAGTAGCATTTATAATATGTTTGTTTTTGTGCGTTGTTTTGTGCAAACATTTAAACTTTCACAATGCCAGTCAACATAATATTTTTGAAATATTTAAAGGTTCATTACAATTTGTATACATTACAAGAGTTGCATTCATTGTCGCTTCTGTTTCGAATCTCTTGCTCCATCGGAACACCTCTTGATCGCCAATAAAATTAAATTAATTTTCAAAGTTCGATTTAAATTTCAATAATATATTCTGAACAACAACAACACGTTAATGACTTGATTGTTGTAAATAATCACTTAGATGCTTTCCTGTTCATATCATGTCTTCTGTACTTATGTGTGCATTATATGTTTGTTTGTTTGTATGTATGTATGTGTGTGTGTATGTATGTATGTGTGTCTGTATGTGTATGTATGTATGCACGTACGAATGTGTGTATGTATGTATATACGCGTCATGTCTCCAAGTGCATTTATAAAGATCTTTGTATTATATTTATATGCGTACACATATAGTAACTATATAGTTTTTTTTTACTTCCTTTTAATTGTTAGATGCAAAATGTTTTTAACGTTGATTTTGATAACGTTGATGATAATAATTTGAATAATATTAAAAACTGTTTTTTTTTCAAACAATAAAATAACTTAATTGAATACAAAATAGAAGAACAAACGAAGGCACGATGCTACATATTGTAACTTGTTCAAAATGAAATTGCAATGTTTTTTTTTTCAGCTCAACAAATTTCAAATGAATATTTGTCGCGCTGACAAACTGAAATTGCTCCATAAAACGCTTGAAAAATGAACAAGATGGTCATCACAAACAAATGATGATGCACTTTTTTATCAAACAGTTCATGATGTCCTGTCTGTCTTTCTTCAAAGCATTGATCACTGGCCTATCTCGGCTGCTCTTTTTACTTTAACTGTTTCAAGTAGAAGCGGTTGGTCCTTGCTTCATGACGTTTTGCCCAAAAGCTGACATTCGTATGAATGCAATGATTTCATCCGAAATTTCCTTTTTTTAATTCGTTCGATCCATCATATTTAATTTATTATCAGCATCTGCGTTGGTTCCAGGCTGCAACAAATCATTCCACTCACTTCACTTCCAGTACAAGATTCGTCTTCACTAGTTTCCAAACTTGGAACCTGCTCTTCTGTTCCGTCAGATGAATTTTCCTTTCAGATGCGTGCAATGACGAGCTATCAGCTTCTAACATCTGCCTCTTCTGTAGTAAATTTTTGTAAGGTTATCGCAAACATTTGGTGTAATAAATTTATTGCAAAGATGTAAAAATATTATTTAAAAAAATATTTATAGGAATAAATATATAAAATATAGAATGAATTAAAAAATATAAATCATTAAAATTCAAACGAAGACATAGAAATAAGGATGCTTACTCGTTCCCAAACACATTTGAATGATTAGTTATTCAGCAAACAAGATTTTATAAAATTTCATTAACATAAGTGATCAAAAGCTAAAAAGTTATCATTCTTTGTATTAGACATTATCGAGTTAAATACTGGATCAGTGCTGTTTTAACAATTTTTTGTACCACAAGGCTCTACCAGGCATATGCAAACTTGCATTTATACACAGGCACTCCAGGAAACAGCTCAGTCGGTAGAAGTGCCATACCTCGCGCAGCCATCATGCGATTGCCTGGTTCGAATACTATAATTAAGAAGTATAGAATTCAATGTAAGCAACTCTGCTTTGACAGAGCTTCTTTAAAAAAAAAATTAAAAAAATGTCTTTGAGTTCAGTTCCAGACGGCTGAACCAGGTTGGTGGAAGATAACTCCGACAGGAAACCTGACATACTTTGCACCTTATCTCTCATCTAAGGAACATTTCATATTTTAAGCCAATTGTCATCTCTATAATAATCGCATCAACATATTGAAAGTCATCAGTACCATCGTCTTATCGTCATCGTCTTCGTCATCACACAGACAGCTGATCACATAATCATGGAATGCAACAGCAACAGGACAACCTGCACCGCCGATGCAACTCCACTCTCTTTCTCTGTTTCGTCATCTTCTCCCTCTCTTTCTCTCTCCTTCTCCATTTCTCTCTCTATTTCTGTTTTTTTGGCTTTCTTTCGTTTGTTTTCTGTGTTGTGTGCGTGAACGTGTGTGTACGTGTTTACATGTACATAAAAATCATTTTTATTTTGTTATTAAAATATAACAGATATTATCGTTACAATGATATCATAAAACAGTATCACAAAATAGATACATTGCATTAGGTAATAGTCAAACTTGTTCTCGTGTTCTTAACTCATTACGTTAATAAATATAATTTACAATTAATTAAATGGCTCTTTTAATATAATTAATTAAATGACTCTTTTAATATAATTAATTAAATGACTCTCTTAATATAATTAATTAAATGGCTTTCTTAAAATAATTAATTAAATGGCTCTTTTAATATAATTAATTAAATAGCTTTTTTAATATAATTAATTAAATGACTCTTTTAAAATAATTAATTAAATGGCTTTTTTGTTTCCACGTTTGCATAATGGCACGCCCGTGTCGACGCGTTTCGCTGTACTAAAAATAACTCGGAAGGCTAGACGACGTTTTACTGTTGTTGTACACATAAGCGCCTGTATATGTCAGTATATGTACGTACATGTATATTATTCATACATAGTAATGTTTGTATGTACGCATACATACGTACATACATGCGTATATATAAAATCATACATACGCAAACACGTACATGCAAACGTATATACGGACTCTCACACACATTCCTCGCTCAACACCGACAAAAAGGGGATACAATTTTTACTTGATGGTTTTGTATTGACAGATGGTAAGAAGCTTGAGGTTAAAATAGAGTTGAGATTTTTAAACTATGTTAGTGTGAATTTAAAGAATTTTAAATTAGATAATTCTGTTGTTTTGTCTGCTGGGGGCCGGTTTTATAAAAAGTTTGTGATTTACTTTGGTTTTCTTTTCATTGAATGAAATAAACTTGTCCCTTGAATTATTCAGCTGGTATAAAAGTTGTATGTAAGGACAGATTGTTTCACAGCTCAAATTATTTAATGAAAATTTATTTATTTTAAAACATGAACGTACATCAATTTCTGAAATGTTGAAGAGGGATTCACAAATAATTTTATAATGTAGAATCATTTTCATAAAAATAATAAATCATTATAAATAATTTTATTCAAACCTTCATATTCGAAGACAAAAATTTAATAACAATTATTTAACAATTAATTAAATTATAAATTATATGAAAACTAATCCATAACTTAAGTTGAACCTCACACTGCTTATATATCTGAAGTAATAAAAATCATTGATAATAATTTTTTGCTTGCGACAGCTTTTCTAGGAGTTGTTTTAAAATAAAAATTTGGATGAAATTTCGAAAAAATGTTCATGAACGAAAAAGGTACGAAGGTTTGTTGGAATGTGTGAAAATATTAAAATATAATTCTCGTTATTGCTTTAAAGTGAAAGTGGATAATTAATTAGAAAAATTTGAAAAGTGAAAGATTAATTGCAATGCTAACAATAATCTAAAAATGTTCGCATTGTAATGATTTGAATGAACAAGGTTTGAACATACTCTCTGGTATAATTGCTATTTTTAAATGAGGAACTACGGTTTGAGATTATTTTAAATGTTTTTTTATAAATATTTTGTCAGGATTTTGTAGTTATTAACGTACGTGTTTGCATGTATGCATGCAAGTGTGTTTGGATGTGCTTGTTTTTGTCTTTCCGCTTTATTGCTTGCTTGTTCAGATTATGTGTTAATCACTAACTGCGCAGATATCTTATTTTAAATATTTTCAAAATAAAAAATACTTGTTAATATATACATGTTAATCAATATATATATATATATATATATATATATATATATATATATATATATATATGTATATATGTGTGTGTGTGTATGTGTGTGTGTGTGTGTGTGTGTGTGTGTGTGTGTGTGTGTGTGTGTGTGTGTGTGTGTGTGTGTGTGTGTGTGTGTGTGTAATGAAATGTTTGATTCATTAACACACAGTAAGTGTATTCATATTAAAGCAAGTAATGTTCTTATGACAGAAATTCGGCACATGGAATAGTACATTGCTTATTGCTTGCTTATGTTATTATCAGTTAGTTGTTATTTTGATAATAATTTGATTTTTTGAGTAGCACTATATTTCAATGTAAACAGTTGTATGACCAGAAAATTGTTGTGGGTTAGTTGAATGTTTTGGAAAATCTTAACAAACTTATTTTGTTGCTTCCACATTTTTATCTTTTAAACAAATTTTCGTATTGAAGCAAGTATAATATGTACTTTATACAAATCTGCCAACTATTATTTGTTATTATTATGTTATTTAAACTACCGGTGTTCTTAAGAAAACCGAACTGTGATCAAATTTTCTATCGAACAAATAACTTTGAATTTTTTATTGGGACAGTCTGCTTTAATCTTGTTGGAGGATCAATCAATGTTTTGGGCAGAAAAACTTGCACACCACTGTCACCCAATTTTGCCCAAGTCCTAGGAAGTACCATCACTTCTGACGAAACCAAACGCAATGCATACCCCACATCAACTTCAGTTTTTGTAGTAGTCCAATTTAGACGGTGCAAATATAATTCTCAACTGGAAGGCATTTTTGATGATGGTGATGATGATAATAATAATAATAATAATAATAATGATCGTGATGATGATAACTTTAAAAAGCAAGTAAC